AAAATATATATTACATATCTATTGAGGTATTTATTAACATGTTTACTGAGACTTTGGATGTAAACCACAGCACTGTACAACACTGTAAATCATCTGTGTTTTTATTGAACTACATGCACTGATTTTCCTAAATCTTGCCTCTGACATGTGCCCTCAACCCAGTAACAAAAGACATAACAACTCTTGACAAAATCTTACACACTTACCAATACATATGTACTTTTAATATTTTAGTTGTGCTATAGTGTAGTGTTTAACATGTTCACTTAACATCTGTTAAGCGATCTTCTGGTTGACACCGGGAGGAGACACAAAGAGAGGGTTGGATCAGGAAGGGCATAAACATCTGTGCCCAATCAAACATGTGGATCCTTCTGCTCCTGCAGCCCCTGAAGGAGCAGCTGGAAAAAAAGCAACTTTCACAGGACCAAAGAAACATTATGGAAATACACAGAGAAGAAAATGCTTTTCTAAAGACTTTGGTGTTCATTAGTTCACCATTAGAAAACTGTCTACAGATGGTGAAAATTCCCTGTTGGTATTCTTTCAATCACCGGGCGTCCCACAAAGGAGTAGAATGTGTAATGGAACAGAAGTGTACCAGCAAACACAGAAATGTTTACAACTTACTAAAAACTTTGTGTCCACTATAAGAAAAACACTAAATGGGAATGTTTTTTTTTTTAAATGAAAAGACACCACAAAATGAACAAAAGGCCACTGAATGTTGCAGAACACTACTTAAACAAAAACTGAACAAGTGATTCCAACCTAAGTGTCAGTTGTGCATCAATGTATTCTTCCAATGACATATAAACTAAAATTATCACTAAAACTCCAAAGCACTGTCTTTTCAGATCAAGGCAAATTACCTTTATTTTTATTGGCGTGGTTATATTTAACCTAAAATTTCAACACGTTTTGGCACACAGACCTTCATCAGGTCGAAAATACAGTCCACGAACACAATGAATCTTCTCTAGTGTGTTCCACCATTAGAGGCATTAGACATATGGTGTTCAACCAGTAGCAAGAGTAAAACGTCACCAACAGGAGGATTCTTTAGTAACGTGGACCAAAGATCCAAAGAGGATCAAACATTCACGAAATTCCAAATAAGACAGAAAAAGACGGCACATACAAAGATAACACAAAGGCATCTTCAAATAAAGTCAAATGAAGCTTATAAAACAAGGAATTAATTTAAAAATATTCTATAGTTTTTATATAAATTTGACAGTTTTCATAGTTTTAATAATTTTCTTCGGGTCATAAGTGAACGATCTAATAAAGGAATCTCACTCAAAGTGATCAAATGCAACAATGTTCAGTCATGAGCATGCAAAATAACAAACTAGATAAGACTGTTCATGATCATGTGGTCGCGATCCCCTGAGCTTTCTGGCCATCTCCACGGTTTCAGTATGTGCACTTAATTCATGACCACTTAATAAAATTTCTCCACAGTCGCTGCCCCATACAGGCTCTTTATGTGCACTCGTTTATCTTAGCTCTCTGATTAGCTCGGACTATTAAACTCATCCAAACTAATGAGACGCATACACGAGCACTGTAGGATACTTAAAGTCTATAACTGGGCTTGCTAAGCTTTTATTACTTCAGTAGATGGACTCATGATATTCCCTGATTAAACAGCTAAAGTAAGGGGAAGAAGAAAAAGACATGGAGGGGTGGGGGGATGACATGAATCTGAGCTGGGAAAAATCATTAGTCCTCTCAAATTGAATTAACTTGCTGTCTTTGATAATGCAATGTAATTTCATTCTGTAAAGTTAAGGTTCTTTTATATCGTCGAGCCTCAGAAGTGCTGAGTCCTGCTGCCTGGTTTTTCTATCAGGATAGGTGATAAAACAACATGTCCCCTCCCACTATCCTCAAGCAAAGTCTCAGCAATAATCAAATGGGTTGTTTACTTCAGTTCTGTGGGTTGCCATTTGCTTTGCCTCAGCAGCAGGACATCTAACTAAGATAATTTCATTTTCTCAGAGGAGATTGGATTTAAATGATTTGACCTGATGAGGCTGTGGTTGCATTAATTGCAGCTTCTGCTTTGCCGAATCTTTGTGAATGAATCTTGGTTTCCAGGGTTTTCCATAAAGGCCAGATGTGCACGGTGTTATGCTCAGTGCCACACAAATAATAGAGGTTCAAAAACCGGCATTGGCATGCCTTGTATTTTATTATTGTTATTAGTTAATGTCTTGCAGATTCCAGCCTAAGGCAACATTTAGCCTTGTGTTTACAGGCAGCCTCAGACAAAGTGTCCACATCTGTTTATCTAACTGCCTGTCTCTGTGACCCAACTTAAAGAATGAGTGAAGCTTTTAGGGCCTTCCTGAAGAAATTACTGCGAACAGCTCAGGGCAGACTGTCAGTTTGCTGTAACCATGTTAGAGCCTAGAAGGTGCAGTATAAATGGGGTATTAGAAGTCACGGGGAAAACACTTGGCTTATAGGTCTTTGGAATGGGCCTGCCATGGACCCTCATTCATTCACACACAGACGGAAAAAAAATGTAGGTAAGTGCGCTTTTGTTTTACTCTTCGACTGTTTGATGGGTTTTGATGCGTTTTTGCAACCACTGCTGTGTTTAGCAGGAAAGAACTGCCCTGGATTGCACAGTGTTGTCTCTGACTAGACTTCCACATGTGAATTTATGTGCTTTGAGGGAAAAGCTGTTCATGTATATTATGCCCATGCTGTGAGACTGAAAGTGGAAAGGCTATAGTTCACCAGCCTCCCTATATGTGTGTACATATATATATATACTCAAAGGGAAAGATGCATATTTCTTGTGCAGTCAGGCGATGTAACCCAGAGGAATAAAGAAAATCCATTATATGTGTGAGCTTAAGTAGAAGCCCTCTGCGATTCATAACCGTCACGGTGACAGTGCCGCTCTGCAAAGTTGCTGTGGGACCATTGTTGAGCTGACAGTGTCCGCTGCTGGTTGGAGCGTTAACTGCATGTGTCTCAGAGCACCACAGCAGCAGGAGGCTCCTAGGACATAAACTTTTAATGCGCCCACGATATGTGCTCAATCTAGTGGGATGAGGGGTCGGGGGGAAAGTACACAAGCCCACGCATAGCGGGTTGAATGTCTTTCGTGAACCTATGTGATCTATGAAGAACATTTTAAAGCGGAATTCGTGTTTTTTTTAATTTTTTTGTTTTTTAAATCACTAACAGCGCTTTCATCCAGCTGTTATAAACCTGCTCATCTGTCCTCACACATTTTTTCCCGTTCCTGTGTCACTTTAGTCAATCTTATATGTGTACATCTGCTGGATATCAACAGGTGTGTGTGTGCATGTGTGTGTGTGCATGCATGTGTTTGTGTGTGTTGTGAACGCACATCAGAGCTATTCAGTACAACACTTTAGTCCCCCGTGAGCCAGGCTCTTTAATTACAGCCACAAACAGCAGATGGCTCTCTTGAGTTTTAATTTCTGTGCCTGTGATTGAGAATTGGATGATATTTATCCCCAAATCAACGAAAAGGATCAGACGCCTCAACCTCGCCCTGGCATTTATTGCGTGGATCAGAGACGCCTCGGTCAGCGTTTAAATTTACATGCGGGTCGTGAGTGGAGTGGAGTCTCTCTCATTCACTCGTGGTTTACCGGAGGCATTCACGGTGTCTCGTGGCTCGTGGACGTTTAAGTAAAGGTTATGATAACCGACTGAAGAAATGACACCCCCACACTCCCGACCCACCTCCATGATGGTGCACAAATCAGAGACGCTGTCCCTGGTGCTGAAGGCGCACACAGCAAATGGAGCGTGCGACTTGAATCGATCTTAATTAGAACAACATAAACAGGTTTCGTGAGATGGAGCGAAATAAATAAATAAATAACAAAGAAGAAGAGTAGCAGTAATCCACTCACTATATGTGAAAAATGGACTGTCCTGTGATAATGAGGTGAAAGGGAGTTCATAATGGCACACTGTCCCCTTGCGTTTGGCTTTCTTATTTCCACATGAACTGTGTAGTGGTAAAGGGAATGTGGCTTTCTAAAGAGTCCAAACTAAAGCATTAAAAACTGAAATGCTACAATCTAACGGCTTCAGACAGTCTGTGCCCCCCCCCCCCCACACACACACACTCTCTCTCTCACTTCAAGCGGGGGCCCGGTTATGAGCAGGGAGGAAGTGGGAGGGGGTGCAACCTCTTCAAGGCGTGCACTAACGAGTGGTTAGGACTTGTTGATGGGAAACGTTTGTTGATCTGGGGCATATAAACAAGCACTTCCTACCGTCCACCCCCACCCCACATTTCTTTTTTTTTCTTTCAGCGTTGGAAAATAAATTGCGCCGTTTGTCTGTGGTGTTACTTTCTTCCCTTATTCCCACTGCGCACTGATCGCCATGCATTCGTTTTCCTCGCAGTGGGCTCTTTTGTGAACATGCACTGGGTCGAATTGTGTGCTGGTCGCCGGGGGGTTTAAGTTTAATGTATTTGTATGCAGCTTGTCACACAATGCAGACGTCATCTCCACATGCAGGATCAGCTTTGGGTATGCTTTTCCCTCCCTGGATCTTATCGCGCCCAGTCGCTTGTGTTGTGAACACTAGCCGACACGTCGACTGGTAGTTGGAAAATAACTTGGTATTAATTCCACATAACAACTCTGGCTCGGTTGCGCGTTCCTCTGTATTCCCAACTGTGTTTCTCTCGTTCGGTCATCGCGGGGTCCCTGTCGCCGATTGCTTCTTGCAAACTTGGGAGCTGGATTCGCCCCGAGCAGCTGTGCCTTGAGCCGGGTTGTGATCTTCGTAGGAGGCGCCTGTGTTTGTTTAATTGCTGGCGGCTCACATGCACGGGCGTCCCCACCGCAGACTAAAGACTGACTTTAAAAAAAAGGCAACCTCGTCTGGCAAAAGGAGAGGGGGAAAAACGGAGTGTGAAAGGAGGAAAGAGCAGGTGAGATTTCACCGAGCGGACGAGGAAGCCCGTGCTGGACATTTAAGGAGGCGATGCTGCTGATTATTTCACAGACAATGAACAAACACATCACAGCACAGGTATGAATAATCCTCGGAAATATTCGGAATCAAGCCTGTAGTCACCGATGTGCTGAATTACGCATGAACTGATCTAATTTTTTTCCACCATGCTCAAGAATTTTTCGAGTGATAGTGACAGCTGGTTTAATCCCCTAATTATCATGTAGTATTTTGATTTTTTGGATTTTTTTTTAAAAAAAGGAAAGCCAGCTTTTAGAGATATTTATTTGGCATTTGACATAACGGAACGAGCCACATAGCCGCCACCATGGGACTGTGACCCGGGCTGCGAGCTCTGAGAGGCGGCTGTTTGAATAGTCCGTGCTCCGAGTGCAGACTGGACCTGAGCAGTTGTGACATTTTGAGCCATGGCTGCTGCTATCGCAAGTGGGCTGATCAGACAGAAAAGACAGGCACGGGAGCAGCATTTAGACCGACCCTCCACCAACCGACGGAGAAAGAGCCCCAACAAGAACAAGGGGCTCTGTAATGGGAACCTGGTCGACATCTTCTCCAAAGTGCGCATCTTCGGCCTCAGGAAGAGGAGACTACGGAGACAAGGTCTGGGAACTTCAGAGTGTGTATTCAGTGTAAACATGTGCATACATTCAACCACTGGTTGATCGCTTAATTAGGACTGCACTATAAAAAAAACCTTGGAGCCGGGGCAGCGAGGGGGCGAGTCAACAATGTTTGCTTTTTATTTATTAGACGCATTTGCCACGTTAAACCTTTGTGCTCCAAAAAAAAAAAGAAGTTAAAGTTGATTATGAGAAGACAGAGCACCATTTTTTGTGTATGTAGTCGAGTTGGTTGAAAATAACCAACATTCCTCTGATTTCTATGCAGACCCAGGTAGCTGATGGGCTCCTAACGAGTTGTACCAAATGGTTTAGACAGGTTTACGTAGCTGTCACCTCTGTGATTCTAAAAAGGGGTCTGATCGCCATGAAGCACATACAGAATATGCTGAACTGGTGTACATAAGTAGATTACAAGAAGCCCAAAATGAAACTCATTTCTATGCAAGTAAAAGGTCAGTATGGCTGGAATGGAGATTACGCCTTTCAAACATAATTCCTCCACCCCCACCACCATCCTAGCATAATTCTTCAATTTCCAAAGCCAGTGGCCTCCCCTCTTGTTCCAAATGATATTCCGTGCAATTATGAACACGTCATGAACATTTCTTGGCTGTAAAGTGGCAACCTGGGATTGCTAAAAGAGCAATATCAACAATTAGCTCACTGCTGGAATCACTAAGAAATGAAAAAGAAATGAGGGTAATTTATTTAAGGAGAAAATGACTCTGGTCATTTCCCCCTTGTTAGTGAATGATTGAAGGCAGCTGCATGTTTCTCTCAGAGTCATCAGGTATCAGACCTGTTGCACCACACATGCTCTAACTCCAACAGATTGAACCCTCTTGGCAAGCTGCATTTGTTTCCTCTTTATGTGCACGGAAGGAGCGTTTACTCTTTCATCTTGTCCACAAAGAGAGCCATTTTGATTGCTGAGTCTCTCTGTTCATACTGGAGCAGAACAACACCATGAAGTGTCTCCTTCACTAGCCCTTCGTGATTACATGTATTAAAATGGCTTTGATGAAAGAGGATCCGTATAATAGCCCGCAGAGGACACATCTGGCCATGGGTGAGGGTGCACGAGAATGGAAGTGTATAACCAGCTATCCTCCAGGCTGCTGTTTCTGCTTCTGCCCACAGTGTGCATGTGGTGGGGTGTGTATGCGTGGCTGCCCCATTTTTGTCTGTGTGTGTATTTAATTGTCCGTCCTCTTGTGTCACCTCTGAATTGGCTTGTGGCGCATCTATCTTTTCATTTGAAATTGTCAACAGCATCCAGAAGCCCTCGCAGATCACAGATGTGGACGGATGACGCTGTCCACATCTGTGAATACAAGGGCCCGTATGCTGGTGTTTCCTTTCATTGGGGCGGCGTGTGCTTCAGTCGGCTCTTGAGTGCAGAGATGTAGATGCCAAGTCAGACTTCACTGGCAAGCATAAAATGACAACATCACACCTGGATCGGCCATTTTCTGGAGCAACCCACGGCCTCTTGAATTTCAAATAAGTGACGGTAATCCACAGTAACAGCTAAAGCACAAGTGTTGGTGAACTGTGTCACAAGTCTGCCCGGAAGATGAGGGACACTTCACATAAAATCAAAGCAAGAATTCAAGGAGGGGGAAGCTCCTTTAAAATGGCCGTTTTCTCCTTATATTTGAGTGTCTCGTTATAACAAACACTGTTTTCCTTTCCTTTCTTTCTGTACTCGTTCTGATTAAAGGCCCTAATGGGGAAAATACCTCATTAATTTCAGTCTCACATGAACTGGGAAAATCTCTATCGACTGATATGCAACGTTGTTGCCGGGGTGCTCCCTGCCACTGTTACTGTTCTCACTGCTTCATCTCTCTCTCTCTTTCTCAGACACTTCCTTTCCTTCTCTCCCTTCTTTCCTTCTTTCCACTGTGTTAGCACGAGAGCACAAAGCCTAGGAAGACTAATGACTTGTTTGCTGTACTTAATTTAATATTGAACCCTGAAAATATGTTTCTTTGCCAGCGAATAAAACCCAAATGCACCACTGATCACATGGGTTGCGCTAACGTGCTCCGACGTACAGAGTTGTCATCATTTCCCAGGTGACAAAAAACACTGGGCTCTGACAGCTGAGTCTAAACAGACTGTGGTGCTTCAAATTCCTTCTCAGATGTGTCAGAATGAGGGAGTTGGGGTGAATTAAAAGGAATCCCTAAGTCTAGTATTCCCTTTGGGTTTAAATATTGATCTTGTGAGTCAGACACTATGGGCTACATTGATTGGCATTGACTTACAGTGTGTATCAAAGCCTGAGCATTCTCCGTACAGAAAATGATCAGTTGGCACTTTGTATTTAAGCTCGTTTTGTTGTAGTTGATCATTAAGCTGCACAGATGTGGCTCCCTGACATCTGTCAGTACCTCAGGGGATATGCTGCGTGGAAGCATTTTGTTTGCCGTCCTTCATATCGGCTTTAATTTTAAATCCATGCTTTTTGATAGCAAATACAGAGCCAGTGATCGCCATAATTTTTTAGGGGATTAGATGGGAGTTATAAATCCTATTACACTCAAACCCAGTAAGCGAGCCGGGGGCACACGTGGCTTGGACTTGCCTATAATCCCGCTGCTGTGGCTCTAATTATCTCCCACCAGATTAGATCCCTTAATTATTAGATAACATTACATTAGATTACCTTACGTGATCTAAAAAGCCAGCTGAGATGAGTGATTTCCCGCTCGCTGGCTGTTTATTCAAGCACATGTTGACAGGACAGAGCAGTGCGTCATCAGTCAGCCTCCAGTGTCTGTGCTGAGTTATTGGATGAGATGTCAGCGATGTTGTTGATGAAGGAGGAATAGGAAAGGAGTGAGAACGCTGCTTTGATCGCCTTTCATATGACAACACAAGCGAGAAGGGTTTTTCCTTTGTAGGCTGGAAAAGCCCTTCTCCTATTCCAGAAACATCCAAAGTGGGTCAGGCTGGGCAGGGCTGACAGGAGTCTACAAGTATTGCTGCAGCTGTGCCTGTGTGTTTGTGTGTCTCCTTGTACCT